ACTACTACTACTACTACTACTACTACTACTACTACTACTACTACTACTACTACTACTACTACTACTACTACTGCTGCTGCTGCTGCTGCTGCTGCTGCTGCTGCTGCTACTACTACTAATGATGATGATAATGACGGCTGCACCGGTGCATGGAGACGATCACAGCCTCCTCCTCCTTCTCCTCCATCCATCCACGTTAACGATGTGCCAAGCGGCTGCATATGCGGCGGGGTTTCTAGTTCCTAACTCTAGGTTCTAGGTTTAGCGTTGGGGTGTAGGTTCTAACTCTAGCTCCTATGTCAAGGTTCTATGTCTATTATATGTGATAGGTCGGCGTTCGACTCAACTTTCTCTCGGGCGTTCGTCTCTTAGCTGTGGTGGTATATATACCTGCGGCTACAGATGCGGCCGTGTTTCCATCTTCATCAGCATCTATCCTCTCTGGTGTGTTGGTCTCTTCACTTTGGTGTTTCTATGAATGGGAAGGCTGTAAGGCGGGGGGAGGGACTTTCTGTTATGTGAATGTTCTGTGAATGTATTTATTATATGATTTACTTGTAATTATGTATTATGTTTATTTCTTTATTAATATTTGTTTATGTTATTCTGTTATTCGTCAGCTTATGTGAAATTCCCCACATATTTATTATTATGTGTGATTATGTATTATTATATTATACACTGTATATATTATTCCCCAGGACCCACCTCACAAGCGTCTGTGTGAGCGATATATATAGGTGTTCATGATTAAAAAAAAAGCATCACGCCACGTGTATCCTTGGTCTGATACCGTATAATGATATCAGTACTACACCTATAGAGTATTTTCGTGTATGATGTAGTGAGAAGACGTTGAAATATCCCTCCGGACCTAGCCTGCAAGCTAGCGTGTGGTCCGATATAGGTTTTCATGGTGCGATGCAGCGTTTGCGCATTTCTTAGCCACGTACTGCATGTGTTTCTTTCAGTATTTGCTCTGCGTTTACTCGGCAGCAGTTGAGCCGATGAATACTGACTGCACTGATTCGCATATTTTACTCGACGTAACATTTCTATTCGGTGGTTTCCCCTTCTTCTTTCATTATGTTATGAGTGAGCAGTTGAAGGCAGTAACAGTCGCCTGACCCCGCTGTGATGTATACGCCCCATAGATTCTTATTTGCGAACCAAATTGAGAGAGAGAGAGCGCTGTAGAGAAGACGCGATGATGTCGATAGATGATTAAATATACGAAGGATTAGATTTCACATGCGACGATTTTATCGATCTGTCTTGAATCGGTTTTTATTCACGTGGCGCCACTGTCGCTGTCCGCTCCGACTTTAGGAAATGTGATTATACGCAAACAGTCACAGTAGTGGATTGCTCGTCGAGTTTAAACCATCTGCTGAGAGAGACCGCGTCTGCAAGAGTAACAATTTCGAGTTAACAAAATCACATCGGAGAAATCAGTCGCCGTTTCGTAAGAGAGAGAGAGAGAGAGAGAGAGAGAGAGAGAGAGAGAGAGAGAGAGAGAGAGAGAGAGAGAGAGAGAGAGAGAGAGAGAGAGAGAGAGAGAGA